AGAGATGTATGCTCAGTAATATAAGGGATTATTTCTCAAATGTGGAGGTCAAACTAAATTTTAACTTGAATTGAATCTACCTGACAAATGCCTCAGTCATGGAGCCAAAGAGGCACGACTGAGTTTTTCCCACCAGAACTCCTTTGGTGATCAGCAGAGGACTTTCTCTGGGCTGTACGTGTTCTTTGGTATATCTTACCTCTTCCTTCACTGATTGTTTTCTATTCCGTGTCCTTCTCCTCTCCTGTGTTGCATGTAGGGCGGCTGAGGAGGCCATGGTTTCAGATCTGGATGAGAACAACCCAGGCACAGAGTGGGAGCGGGTTGCTCGGCTCTGCGACTTCAACCCCAAGTCCAGCAAGCAGGCCAAAGATGTGTCCCGCATGCGCTCCGTCCTCATCTCCCTGAAGCAGTCCCCGCTAGTCCGCTAGACAGCCACGGCTGCTCAGGGCGTCATTCCATATCATCCTGTATCACCACACACCAAACAACCCAACTACCGACGTCCCACCATCTGTATTCTGAAGACAAGGGGACGTAGACCCCTTCTGTCGATATCTGTTTGCAATGCACAGCCCTGTGGAAGGACATAGCCAGTGGTCCTACCTTCATCTATTTCCTCCTGCCAGGGCTGTAGAGATTAACCTTGAAGCACCAGCTCACCATTTCCTGCCCCATGAAAGGTTTTCACCTGTGTGCACCTCTTTCACAGACCAATCAAGACCTTGTAATTCCTCTTTCCTGTCGTTTAACATACTGAGCTCAAGGCCTTTTAGATAGACACACCAGGTCTCATGTCTGTGGTATTGTGTATCACCTGTGTAAGGGTGGTGAGTTGGGACACTAAAAGGGAAGGGTTGATTTGGGCGTACGGCTACACTACAACCTGCTTCACATGACACCCCCCCCCCCAACAATATCATTCCAACGATGCTCTAACTCTTAACCTGTCAATCTTATGAATCCTCCTCTGACCTACGAGGTTTGATTGATGTTTAATTGTTTCATTCACCTCATGTTTTCCCGTCCTTCCAAAAAAAGTATCTTCAATTTTTCTTTGTTTTTTTTTTTTTAAGGACCAAACTCTTAAGACAAAACTCCAAATTCAGTGTGTGTACTTTGAACTGTGTGTAGAGCCTGCTTGTGGCATATTGTGTTAAATTTTCCAATCTATGCATTTCCTTTTGAAAAGCCTCTCCCCTCTCCAGTCAGGAAACTCAACAGTCCAGTCATTACAATAAATGTGACCCGTTTGTTTGTGTGTGTGTGTGTGTGTGTGTGTGTGTGTGTTCGAACTCCAACAGTGTGTGTGTGTGTGTATGTACTCTATGCGTGTACCTATGTACATATACAGAAGGCAATATATATACAGTATATAAAACGTTTATGTCACTGAAATTAGAAAGTTGTGGTTTTAAAGAGAACTAGATATTAGCCAGCTGTTGGTAGACCATGCGTGTTCATTGTCCATTTGATTTCAATATCAGTAAAAAGTGAATGAAAGTTGTCGTCCTGTCATTCTTAAACTGGATATTTAATGTTATTTTGTGTTTCAGGAAGTTAACTCAAAGTATGAGTGTATAAAACATATGAATTTAATTGGAACCTTAAAACTACATTTATTTGTGCCCACAAGGAGGTAGAGTAACTCTTCAACAGGCTCACAGACACACAGCCATGACATTGCACACAATCTGGTCATCTGACAAATTTAAGTCTAGTGTTTTTAAGCTGTCGATTAATTTAACAAACACATTAATTAATTGCACAATTTGTTGTAAGAGCACCACCCTCAGTGCCCCCTCCCCTTCATACAAAGTGTGTATTCTTCACACGATGCTTGTGGTAGATTATGAGATTTTCTCCTGCTGTAATTCAAATGATTTCAGTCCATGTCTTCTACTATGTGAACTGAAGTTTTTAGCTATCCAAATAGCCAAAGCATTAGTTACCTTCTCACTTACACTGTAAGTTATTCACCCACAAGTACTACAGTCCTGCAATGTAGACTGGCCAGGCCCTGTAGAGATAGTTTCGGAGTAAGGTAGGGTGTAATCCGTAAGTCATTTATCACTGAAAAAGGAAAAAAAAACATAAATCAATTTTTTTATCAAACAAAAAATGGGGAAAAAAACTAATCAAAAAACGGAAGTCACGTGGTTTCTTAACTTTAAACCGAAAACTGAAAACAAGAAATCCAAATCCGATTTAGTTTTTTGTTGTTTTTATTTCTTTTTGAAAGACCTGGCAAAGACAGAAGAGCGGAGGATAGTCCGGAAGCGGAACAGACGTAAAATATTTCAAAATAACATCAACTATGAACTACGATAGATAGATGTTGTTTGTTGCTTGTTGTTTATATCTATATATATATATATATATATATATATATATATAAATCTGTCCCCAGAGTAGTTCTTGTTTTGTCTCTCTCCAACCTTTCAAATATGTGTGTTTGAGGTCTAGTGACTGCAAAGGCATTACATATGATTTTATATTTATTTTACCTGTATATAGTATAATGAGCTAATTACAGAAATTGCCCAACATGCAACTCTCTATATAAGTGCTCAGACAAAGTAGTATTTGGCTAGGTGGCACTGTTGTGAAATGCAGTCCTGAAAGTGCGGCCTCCGGTATTGGAGGAATGTATTATTAGGGACAGAACTGGCCCTGGGCAAGGAGAGCATGCTGGACGTTTCTCATTAATTCAGAAAAACTGAGCTGAAAAGCTGATTCGTGTTTTGGGAGGTTTTCTTGCATGAAAAGGTATCTCATAATTATGACATAGTAAGTAATTAATTTAGAAAACAGAGCAGATGGTTTTTTTCATGTGAATGCAATATGCTTCTGTACTTTTTTGAGGTGGTTTGCATCCAAAATATTTACTGTCTTTTACGGGATTGAAAAGTGTCCATTCTCCCTTCTAGTCTCACTTACAAACGTAAAAAAGTAAAACTAGCCTACTAAGTCTAGGCTCTGAAAGCCTCTCACAACAGCCCCTGCACATCCTCTCCAGTAATTCTCATCTATTTCCCAACTATTTGCATTCTCTCAGATTTCTTCTCGCCTCAGCAGAGTTAATCCCCATGGCTCAAAATGCAAAGAATTTAATCTTGTCCTTGCACAAACAATAGTCACTTATTGAATTTTTTCTTTCCCAGCTACTTCCTCATAGCTTAACCTTCTCTTTAACCTGATCCTCATATGACCTTGATCTCTTTCTTTCTCTTTGGACTGGTTACACTTGAGTTCTTTTCCACAGTTTCTGCCACTACACATATCATCTAAACATTTACCACATATCCCCAGATTATATCTACATTGTCTGAGCTATTCAACAGTGTCTGCGCTGAGTGGGTTTTAATACTCTGTCTGGCAGGATCTCTGAATCATAAGTCAACATAACAGATCCTTATGTACTCTCTTTCCTGCATCTTGAATATTCAACAACTCTGTTATTCTTGAACTCTGCTTGCATCAACTGTATATGTGATACTCCATCAACCACACCTTTTACTGGAACTCTTCTGTTGAGTGGGAAGCATGATACTTGGTAACCAGCTAATCCTTATCGCCAATGCTATCTTCTGTTACATCTGTGACACACTCAACAATGATTATTCCACTTCTTTAAACATCAACTATATTGACATTGCCTAGTTTGTCATCAATCAAACTCAAGACCAGTGTCAAGGCCACCTTTTTTGAGTCCAAGTATAAGACCAGGACTTGTCAAGAGTTCAAAGAGCATAGGACCAGGAAGCCAGGCCCATCAGGCTCCAGCAATGGTGACATAGCAGAGAGGGAAGAGAAAAAAAGACAGTTAGTAGCACCATGCCAAGTTCCACTTAGTACACCATATGAATCATAAGCCATCTACAAACTACAAAGTAATGCAGGGTCCAATTAGAGCAGTAGGAGTATGGATAATAATTGTGAGAATATTGGTTTTAGCTTACTTTGATTGTGTCTTTATTTTGTGTCTTACTTTGAAGTGTCTGATCTTGTCACTTCGATCCAGCTTCTAGTATGAACTCACAGAGATAATCAGGGGATCAGACTTCTAGAGGCAGTTGCCAGAGGCTTCAGAGCGGACGGCGAGTATGCCAATATGCAAATTATATGCAAACCACGCTCTACTTGCCCCCCCTCCTCTCAACGCCAAAACAGTGACAGAAAGTTGAAACTGAAAAAAAAAATTTTTAAATCTGTCACTGAAAAAGGAGTGACATGAAGAAAAAATCTGAAGATTGTCATTGAAGAATACAAAAAAATCCCAATAAAATAAGATTTTAAGATTTTAATTATTTTAATTTTTTTCAGTGCCAATACTTGTTTCAATGCCAATACAACTGTTTTCAATACAAATGTTTCAATGCCAATGTTTCCTTTTTCAGTAGGTAGGCTACTGGTTTTGTTTTCAATGCCAATTTTTTTTTTGGATGCCAAATTTTAAAGTCACCGTCCTGGCTCCATACAGTTACTGTCTTCTACTGGATTGAAAATACAAGTTTTTACACACCATGTATTATGCACACGCAAATATATTACTAGGCAACGCAGGGGTTGTTATTATTATCACAGGTGTGGCCACACTCCCCCACGCTCTTTTCCACAGTGTCCTCTGAGTGCAGTGTCTGCTCCATGGTTACATCTCACGGCTGCAGAACACACAAGAGCAGCTTTTTCTCTGCTGCAGCCACTGATTAATCACCTCTCTTCTATTCCATTCTCACACAGTTTATCATCCCTTTTCCTAACAATAAAGACAGAAATTGTTTAAGTAATTCTTCTCAGTATAATGCAGGATTGTCTCTTCAATATCCACATTGAATGCCTTTTCTGCTCTCTCTCTCTCTCTGTCTCTCTCTCTCTGTGTGTGTGTGTGTGTGTGTGTGTGTGTGTGTGTGTGTTCACCTGTAGCCAGCATAATATGTAAATTGTGTGGTTGTGGGGGCGGGATCGTTCAAGATTACTATAAAAGGCATCACCTGACACATCATCTGCCCTTCTGGAGTGAATTCACTGTACTTCACCTATCTTACCTGCCAAATTGTGAGACTCCTGTTTTCCTATTCACTCATCAGTAAACATCATACATCACCAGAATGCCTCTGCAGTTTGAACTCTGTCCCGGGAGAATGATCGGGGACTCCCATCCATGCTTCATCATAGCTGAAATTGGACAAAACCACCAGGGAGACATTGAAATTGCCAAGAAAATGATCAAGATGGCAAAGGTAAACATGTAGAGGAAACTGTGCCTATATAGAAGAGAGAAATGGTTAAGAATATTGCTTTGTACTTTAAAAACTAACCCAGTGTCTTCTCAGGACTGTGGTGCTGATTGTGCCAAATTCCAGAAAAGTGAATTAGAGTGCAAATTCAGCAAGAAAGCTTTGGAGCGCCTGTACACATCAAAGCATTCCTGGGGCAAAACCTATGGCGAGCACAAGCGTCACCTGGAGTTCAGCCATGATCAATACAGGGAACTGAAAAAGTATGCAACGGAGATTGGTATCTTCCTCACCGCCTCTGGAATGGATGAGGTAAAACACTTTTAATTCACAGCCCAGGAAACAGGCAGATTGAAAATTGGTGGTTTTTCTAGGGGGGGGGTTTTTTTTTTGGTTTTTTTTTTTTAAGGGGTTTTTTTCCTTTTCTTTGTCGCCAAGTGCTTGCTCATGGTGGTACTGTTGGGTCTCTGTAATTAATGTTTTAAAGAGTTCGGTCTAGACCTGCTCTATTTGAAAAGTGTCCTGAGAGAAATGGCATAAAAAAAATAATAATTAATTGAATTGGTTTAGATTTCATTCCACTTTAAACCACAAGAATAGTGTAATGAATAACAGCAATAATTCTTGTTATTTAACCTATATATGTTTTGATTTGTTTCCGTCCATAGCTGAATTACTAAAGCAGCACATGTACCAATACTATTTTTATCACAGGCATTATTTCACCTGAGACACTGAAATACTCAACAGCAGAGTAACACACAGTAAGCTTGTGCTCTAATTGTGTTGATTTCCATAGATGGCTGTGGAGTTCCTCCATGAGCTGGATGTGCCTTTCTTCAAAGTGGCCTCCTGCGATGCTAACAACTTTCCCTATTTGGAGTCAACTGCAAAAAAAGGTACGAGTCTGTGTAGGTAGTAACTTCAAATTAAAGAGGCTGCCAGAGCTTTTGTTGTCCTGGAAAATGTTGGATTAGTCATCCCTCTTAAATCCAAGCTGAAAGGTTAACAGACAGAAGTATCTGTACAGTGCTCCTTTTGTTGCAGTGTATTTTGTTTTTGACCACACCTAAAAGCAATAATGGGTGTGGTCAATGGATCAGAAGTTGTTGGTAAAATAATGCTATTCATCTCTTTAATGCGGATTTAAGTAGGCAGGATTATGAAATGGGGCACAGATGTTGGCCTCCAGGCTGGGCTAATGTTGACTGAGCAACAACCCATGTGCCCTATTTGGCAATATCATCCAACTGCAGCCACAAATGAGCCTTAAGGCGCTGGGGGGGTCCTGTTTTCACTGACTGGAACGCCCCCTTCTTCTTCACCTTTCTTGCTGAACTGTAACTGTCAACATCCGGTTTAATATAACATTCGCTAGTGTTTCTCAACAGAAGTTTCAAAATAAGATCAAGTAGTCTGTAAATGTATTATAGAACTAATGTTATCAAGCTACGCCATCTACAGAACGTTAGTCCAATTACATCTTAATATGCTTACATTTACGTGTAGGACTAGTCTATATTTCTACGAGTTGTTGAGGACATCGAAACCCAGTAAACTAATCTAGGATCTATAGCGCTGCGCTTGCTTTCACCCAAGTAAATTAAAACTGACAACAATTGCATTGTTTAATTCAATGTTCTGGTGTTGTAATTATCTACGAGGTTTTGCAACATGGCCCACCCATCAAAATAAATGCTTTTATTCTTTTGTACGTCGTAACGTCGTACTACGTAACGTTACTGAACGGAAAAACCAAGGCAATGATTTCCTCATGTGATTTGACATATAACACGCTGTAATTCAAACTAAATAAACGTCCATATCCAAAATCGAGATCACTGTGATTGTTTTCTGACTTCAATTACGTCTATAAAATCTACTTCACTCGAAATGTACTACAATAGATGAAGTCGGCGTTTCTTGCCCGCACAGTATCCATGGTAACCACGTGACTGCAAAGTATGAATTGCGATTGGTCGATGAAACGCTACCGGAACGCTTGTGTCATGACGGGAACGCCCAAGCCGCAGCTGGACCCTTCTCCTATTTGACTGAGCTTCCCCTTTGGAGGAAACATGTTTTACTTTTTCTGTTGTGATTGCATGAAAATGTTTGCATCCTGTCATACAATACCGTCTTATATTATTATTATTATTAAATCATTCTATCACAGATGTAGACAGAAGGCTGGGATCTGATGGTTTTGACTGTATGTATACTTTGTTCAAGTGCTGTAGAAAAAAATATGAATTATATCAAAAAGAATGATAGCATTTTGCTGGCACTGTTTTATTGTCTCTGGAAATTTTAGAGACAGAAATCTGCCAGGCATTCTTTGGTATTCATTATTGGAGATATGATATATGAGTACAATCAAATACTACAATTCCTTTAGTATGATACAGTGAAGTAGGCCTACTGTATATTACATTTCCAATTACTCAAATTTGCAAAATCTCCGTATACACTTTTAGTTTACATGATTTATACAACATCAATCCGTATCTGATTTCAAAGAGGTAACTGTCAATGTGGTTTTCACTTTATTTGTTTCAAAAATGTTTCCTCAAAGTTGTTTTACCAGGCTTTGTTAGACATGCTCTTCATAACAAATAATTAAATGAATAACCGTTGTACCCTTTGGGCACCCTGGAAGCTCACCTGGTAGAGCTGGCACCCTATGTACCAAGACTAGGTCCTTACTGATGGCCATGGGTTTGAGTTCGACCTGTGGCACTTGTGCAGCGTGTCTTCCCCCCCCCTCTCTCCCCTTTCTTGTCACTCTTCAGCTGTCACTATCTATTAAAAGCAATAAAAGCCTAAAAAAATGAGACTAACTAGAAATAATTATCACTTTCTTTTTTAGTATATTTCTAGGGCTTTTATTGCCTTTATTGTAGTGACAGCTGAAGACAGACAGGAAAGGGGGTCAGAGAGAGGGGGGATGACACGCGGCAAAGGGCAGCAGGTCGGAGTCAAACCCTGGGCCGCTGCAGCAAGGACTCAGCCTCGGTACATGGGTCGCCAGCTCTACCCACTGAGCTATCCGGGCGCCCCAATTATCACTTTCTTAAAGTTGACCTGCAAAAGAATAGGGGGACGATGTATCATCAGTCATGTTACCTTTGTTACCCTATGCAGTATGGTGGTTCAAATATTCTGTCATGACTGAGGGTATAAAAGATTTAAAATAAAGACATAAAGGTGTACTTGTATGTAAATATATCCAGGGGTGATGTATCCTCTGACACAAGTCATATTTCCCTCTATCTTCATCTATGTACCTATCTGTCTGTGCCAGGACGTCCCATGGTGGTGTCCAGTGGGATGCAGTCCATGGAAACGATGCGCGAGGTCTACAAAACAGTGAGGAAGCACAACCAGAACTTTACTATCCTGCAGTGCACAAGCGCCTATCCTCTGGACCCTAAGGACGTCAACCTCAGTGTAATCAGGGTAAGATCAATAGAATAGAACATAGAAGTGTCTCCTCCCAGTCGATCATCATGTCGGCTGACTCTTCCCGAGTGCAGTAAAATAAGCAAGGGATAATTATGGGGGTATTTTTTTTGCAAGTGAGAGATTTGTAAATGTGTACACAAATCCGTCAATGCAGACATACATATTAATGGCAGTCTAAGTATTTGCTGGAAATACAGACAAGTCATCGGTTACAGTTCAGGCAGGACTCTCAATCAATCCCTCTCACTCCTCTCCATTTCACATCTCTCCTGAACCCCCAGTGTCTTTGTCATCCCCCAGATCCCTGTGGTTAAACTGCCTCCATCCATCTCGGAGGCTGTGTAGTGGCTTGTGTGTTACAGTTGCCACATCCTGTGGTGTTCAGAAGATGAGGCACTGAAGGATTACGCTCAGTGTTGTAAGATATATTTACAAATTAAAAGGTGCAAGCAGCGATAATCAGGCCCTCGCAGTTTACGTGTTTGGCGTGCTGCGGTCGTGTCATGCACCAGCATGTCATGTGTAGGCCAAGCCATGGAAATGCCATGTAAATTTGATTGTCAAACAAGGCTTACTTCCTGTGTCCAATAGGTGACGTATGAGTATGACTGAACATGGGCATGTGTTCAGGGTGGGACTCTCATCAGACGTGACATTGTTTCATTGACAGTGGACCATGTACACTTAAGTTATGAACACACAGGCTGATGCATCAGGCTAGGAATATTACTAGGTATGTTTGCTATATAGAAAAATAGCCAATAGTCTAATTACACCTTTGAATATATAAGAAACAATTTACAGTTTTACAGACAAATTACCTTTTTGTTCACACATACACCCACACACAATATTAAATTAAACTATAAATTAATGTATGAAATATTAAGTAACTATAAGTTGCTTTAATACAATAAACACTCATATTGAAATATATGTATATATATAAATGAAATAATAGTATAAATGTAACTCTTACTGTACGTTTTTCAAAATTAGCAAAGACTTCCCTGCCAAAGTGCAGTGCATAGATAATCCACCAGAGGACAGATTGTCAGATTGAATACAACAGTTTTTCAGTTTTTCTGAAAGAGCAGTCGAGGCCTTTCTCTAACTAAAAACACATCTCACACACCCTGAACAAGCTCAGCAGGTACATTAAACCCAGTGCCTGAATGGCATGTTAAATTACAGTGTTACATAACACTTAAACATGCTTTGTTATCTCTGTTGTTAGAACAGGCACTTGTCAATACAAGACTGACGTAACCAATCCCTTTAATTGTTAAATCATGCCAAGGAGTCCTTGGCAAGGACAATATAGTACGCCTTGCCAGACCGCAGTTTTGGCACTGCCCTTGAAGACCAGTTAGACTGGAACTGTGTCCTGTCTCAAACCTCATGTCTCCCTCCATCCCTCCTTTACTAAACAGTCCCAACCCAACCGTAAAGGACAAAGACACTGTGGAAACAGTGTGTGTGTTAATACTGAATTGTTTTATCAATGCATATCATCAGCTGGCAGGATTGTTTTGCAAATGAGAAACCTGTGGGTGTGAGTGTGCTTTGGAGGCATCCATGATTTTTTATTTTTTTGTAATGCTTTCTCAGGTGAGCCTCCATGCTATGTTCCCACAGTTAAAGTGCAATTATTTTAATCAGCTCAATTCATTAATGAACTCCTAATTGGGGTTAATGCAAGTTCTGTTGCACATGAGAAACATAGATATGAAGCAGACTACGAGTATTAGTGACAAATATATTTTTACTCTCTCTGTCTTTTCCTGAAGGAATACCAGAAGGAATTCCCAGACATTCCCATTGGATATTCGGGACATGAGCAGGGACTCTACATCACTGTGGCCGCTGTGGCGATGGGAGCAAAGGTCGTGGAACGTCATGTGACCTTGGACAAGACCTGGAAGGGAAATGATCATGAGGCATCCCTGGAGCCCTCAGAGCTGTCAGAGCTGGTCCGAGCCATCCGACTGCTGGAGATGGCGATGGGATCTCCTGTTAAGCAGATGTTACCCTGTGAGAAGAACTGCCATGATAAGGTTGGTTGGACTCATTTAGATTTAGATGAAATGTATCTGACTTCATATCACTAACAGGTCAGTCATTGTCATTGCTTACCAAGTATCAGATTGAAAGCTTGTTTTAGTGACACACCTTAAACCTCAATGAAGTCCATATTTTGAATCTTAATGTTTTGTGGTATGTTGTCCAACAAGCCCAATTGAAGCATCCAGTTTCTATTAAAAGATCAACCTTTGTGACAGTCAGTTTGGCAAAAACTGAGACGAGATGATGATAAGATGGACACGTTAGTTTGTTCCACTGGAATGTTAAGTGTTCAGTATTGTTTTATCAGTGGTTTTGTGTCTTTCTTTCCTTTTCTTGCTCCAGTTGGGCAAGTCGGTGGTGGCTAAGGGGGCCATCCCCAAAGGCACGGTGCTGAGCCTGGACATGTTTGCAGTGAAGGTTGGCGAGCCAAAGGGCATCTCTCCAGAGACTATGAATCAGCTGGTGGGCAAGAAGATCAAAGTGGACGTGGAGGATGATGACAGCATCTTGGTAGACATGATAGAATAAAGGATCCTCCAGAAAGGTTGGGAGAGAGAGGCACATAGACAGAAAGACAGACTGACAGACAGACAGGGAAATAGAACAAGAGAGAGGGAAACAGGTAGATGATGGACAGAGATAAACGGTGTTGCAGTGTGTGAACAGAAAGAGATACAGTACAGAGAACAAAGAGAGGAACAGAGGATTAGGTCTATGTGTTTTTGTGAAAAGGACTTTTCACACTGTACTCAGCTCATGGGTAAAAACATTCTTCCCCTCTCCAGGCTTTCACACTGGCGCAAATCTGACACACCCTAACCCCGACTTTAGCCTAATACATGATGGCCCTGCTTGACAATCAACTAAAGACAGATCTAAAGGATGCTAGTGTGTTTTAAAGCTCAGTGTGAACTGTATAGCCCTGGGCTTATGGGTCAAATATGCAGTGTGAAAATTCCTAAAGAGAAAGACAAGAAGTTTGATAAAGAGAAAGAGAGGTGCAGTTAGAGAAAGGCAAATTACATTGAAGGTGGACAGCTCTGAATAGGTCTCCACATGATGAAGATCCAAAGAGGGTGTGTTGGTGTGAAATGTTACCTCTAACTGCCTGTAAATACAGGGCGTAGTGCTCAATTCAATTCAATTCAGAAAAAGCCACATGTGCATTCTCCATGATCTGATGTCAAAGCTTGTTAAATCATCCAACACTGACATTTTTGTCAATGTGATGTCAATAACAATGTTTTTTTCACATCACATCTGTGCTTATATTACCTGGTGGTGTCAGCTGTGTTGGCATCCCTGTACTGTTTGCTTTCTGCATGCTACAACTCCTCTCCAAACTGAGAAATGCTCCATGGTACAACATTTCTGTCAATGGCCATATTTCTTACATGTGGTATGAATGTCATCTGTATTTGGAATGATCTGTCCCTGCCTCATTTTCCCAGCAGTTAATAAAAAATAAAATTTTAAGGTGATGTGTATAAATAAGCAGCACGGTAGTTAAATGCAGTACCTACATATATACAGTACATATACTGTATTTGTGTGTATGTTGATAATGATGGTGTTGGGATTACATCTACAACTTTCATTCATGTAAGTTGCCATATGTGGCCCTTAAATAGTAATCCATGTCTTTAGAATGGTAATCTTATTGAATCCTATTGATTTGTGCCTTCAGTGTGAATTAATGTCTTCCTCATCATACTCTTGCATCCTTATTTGAACTAATTGTCTTTTTCTGTTTGTGGTGGTCGATGTGTTCTTTTGTTTCTGTATGTCAACAACTTCAAATGAAGATACAATAAAATAAAAAAAACAATTTTATTAAACAAAATAAATGTATGCTTTTATTTTTAAAGGAAATCCGGCTCTTACGCTACAAACGCGGAAGTGGTTGCACATCCTGGATGCGATTTTACAAATCCTACTATGGCCATGCCAATGCTGCTTTCCATTTGTCTCGTGAACTCGGAACCCGAGTTGGAAAGTGTAAATCTCGCAGCTATCTCGCGTGATTTCACCGAGACACACCCCCTTTTGGTTGGAATTTCAGCCGTCCAGCTCGGGGTGCCTCAGGGTACCCCGAGCTGGACGGGGGGGCACGTACGACCCGCAAAACAAAGATGGCAGCGCCCATATTAAGATGTATTTTCTTTGTATTTGTACTATGTTGGTCGTTTTAATGTCGATCTTAAATGCTCTTGCACACTTGTTTACATTGCTGCTTTAGTCCGGTCACCAATTTAAGCATTGCACGGTGTTGCTGTGCGTGCAATACAATGTAAAGTTTTGTTTTCGAGCTGGTTTGCTAAATAGGCTAATGTAGCTAACAATAACACTAGCCTGCCACTGCCCCTGGTGGCCCCTGGAGGCCCCTGGTGGCTCGAGAAAAACACAGCCACAGCACTTGTTGAAATTGAAATAGGCGAAAATGGCAAAATATTATTGAAATATAAGACTTGCAATAACGGAATTACTTGAAATGTTAGTGTTTCTGTAGAAAAACGTATTATTATTTCACATTGAGCTTGTTTAGATGAGCCACAAACAATAATAACACAGCTGCTGCACTTCTTTCCGACTCGTAATGCCCGAAGACAAAATGGAACGGAAGTGGTACAAGCCAGGCAATTACGTCACGTTCTCGCGGCAGAACAACTCGGGTTCCGAGTTCACGAGACAAATGGAAAGCAGCATAAGTCGCGCCCTATGCCTACCTCTGATTGGCTTACTTCCCTCCCCCTTTCCTTTTCTCCCCCTCTGCTCTGATCCTAGTGTCTGCCTTTCCCCCTGTCTTTCTTTGTTGACCTTTGTTTGTTGTTGTTTGTTGTTTGCCTTTTCAATTCTAACCTCCCCCACCACTTGCCCTAACCCTAACCTCTTCTCCCCTTGTCTAAACCTAAAAACCCTAACCCCTCAGCCAGCCCTGGACCTTTGACCCCTCACCTTGTTGAGCTCAGCCAATCAGAGGTAGGCATAGGGCGGGACTTGGCGTGGCCATAGTAGGATTCGTACATTAGCATCCTGGACGTACAGCACGTTAACTCATCCGGGTCCGCTTATCCAGGCTCAGTTCGCGGCTCTCTGTCCTGTTTTCTGCTAATAATCACTTTCACTGGTTGTTTGTCGTTTCCTTTTTCTTTGAGCAAAATGTCTTTAAAGTTTGAGCTGTGTCCCGGTATTGGTCGCACCGTTGTTAATTTTATAAGAGCTAAGAAACTGTTTTAGTGAAAATTACGACTGAGCCATCGCAACATCCAAGTGATTATCAAAAAAATATATAAGAAACAATTAAATACCTTATTTTCCACTCTTAATATACTAATGTAAATAGCATTGTGGTAGGCACAAATGCAGATTACACAGAGAAATGCAATATAATGACAACAGGGATTTACAGATAAATTACCTTTTATTCTGCCTTTTATTCTGATATTCTGCTGTCTGACTTTCCCAGAAAGCAATTTAGCGTCTAACGCCCACACACATACACACACACACACACACACACACACACACACACACACACACACTTTCAACACAATATTTAATTAAACTATAAATGAAGGTATGAAATAGTAAGTAACTATAAGTTGTTTCATTACAATAAACACTCATATTGAGTAACAATAAATGTTATTATTACTGTAAGTAATAATTAGCAAAGACTTCCCTGCCAAAAACCTGATTAATGCAGCCATTGCACCCGCAGTGCACAGATAATCAACCAGAGGACAGATTGTCAGATTGAATACAACAGTTTTTCTGAAAGAGCAGTCGAGGCCTTTCTCTAACTAGAAACTCATCTCACACACCCTGAACAAGCTCAGCAGGTACATTAAACCCAGTGCCTGAATGGCATGTTAAATTACAGCGTTACCAAATACTTAAACATGCTTTGTTATCTCTGTTGTTAGAACAGGCACTTGTCAATACAAGACTGACGTAACCAATGCCTTTTATATGGTACACTTAAAATCATGTGATGGAAAATATTAGTAGCCTTGACAGATGTTGCATTGTCTATTTTATTCCACAGTTTGGCACTACCCATGAAGACCAGTAAGACTGGAACTGTATCCTGTCTCGAACGTCATGTTTTCCTCCCTCCTTTACTAAACAATCCCAAACCAACCACGAAGTAGGAAGAGAATAGCACAGTGGAAAGTCTGTATGGTTATATCAATGGATATCAGCTGCCAGGATTATTTAGCACAGTGGTTCTCTTTTTTTGGCCAGTGCCCCCTGATCTATTATCCAGGTCCCTTACTGCCCCCCATAATAAAAGAAGGTTGCTTAAAATTGCTTAATATTAATGTTGATTATTATTACGTCTATAATTATGATGATCATCATAATACAAAAGAATAATGATCAACATTAATATCCAGGGAATATACATAGCTATAGCCTATATCACTATCATCAAATCCCCATGGAGACCACAAACAGCCGCCAATCAGAAACGGCTATAAATTTGACATTCAAATTTCAATTAAACAACAGCCAACACAAAATGCCAAACAATAAGCTAAGATATCTTATTAATTGTTCCAATGAAGGACCTGTATGAATTACTGCTCAACTACTGTAGATACATTGTTGGGAAAGTAAGAATCAAACTGGTATTTTCCTTAAGAGCGGGTAACACTAACCATATTTGACCGGCATACTGCCCCAACCTGGGGTCAGGAAAGTGGCCTGGAAGGATTTTCATGTCGGCCCTAATCATCCTCAGGTGTTCAATGTAAACGAGGAGACATATGTCACATAATGCAGCATGTCACTTTTTGCCGTTAAACATGGCAGAATTAATTTAGCAGATTTTTGAAATTTTCAGGCAACTTAAACCTTGTACATGTAAATGTTGGGGGTATTTTCTTTCACTGATAGACGTATTAAATGTGTTTAATGAAGACCTTAAAGTTAGTGACGAGTTGAAGCCGTGTTATAGCTGCAGATAAGTTGTTTATTAAGGCTGTATAGTTTGTGTTCATACCCGATGGCCATGTTGCGTTTCGTGCAGTAACGCCAAAGCCACTTGAATTGAATAGTGCGTGTGTGTGTGTGTGTGTGTGTGTGTGTGTGTGTGTGTGTGGGCGTTAGACGCTAAATTGCTTTCTGGGAAAGTCAGACAGCAGAATATCCCTCTTCTGAACGTGTAACCACGTCGACAACACTGCGTTTACGCTGTGTCGTTGAAATAAATCAATACTTTCAAGAAAAATAAACTCCTCCACGGGTAATACTAAGAAAAAGAGAGTGTCAATTTTAATAAGTTTACGCCACTGATTACATTTTACAGATGATTTTCTGACGTCCGGTTGGCGTGAAGGCAGCACGGAGCTCCGTCACAGACAGCTGAGATAAATAAAGACAGTTGCTGCTATGGAAAACATACATCGTCTCTTGTAGTCGCGGTGGTGTAGACTGGCAGGTTTTAATGTTACACATTATTTTGCAAGAAGTTGAGAGTTTTACCTTGTCTTGTTGTCAACCTGTGGTGTAAACTCGCCTTAAACATAACGCCCCCTAAAGAAACAGCTCAACGTCGCTTTTACTGCTCCAAACGCCCCCCGACGTTGTCTGAACGCCCCCTGCTGGGGGGCGGTACCATAGACATTATATAGACGCCGCATTGACTGCTGCCGCCCACTAGGGCGGCGTGCCTACAGGGCGGCCATCTTGGAACAGGGCCACTCGCTCCTACAGTGCATCCATAGACATATAGACATGTATACATGTCTATATGTCTATGGATTACATATATGGAGGAATGGTGTTTCTACACAATAAAAGTGATAATAAATCGCTCAGTTGTCAAGCTATTTCACGAGGTTTGTTTGTCAAACGTCAGACAGACAGACAGACAGACAGACAGAGATAGAACGAAAAGAACCCAGAAAACGTTCAGGTGTGTTCAGGTCTTTCTTTTAAGCATTGCATTTGAAGGGTATAATAAATTTAAGTATATATATATATATATATATATATATATATATATATATATATATATATAATAATTATTATTATATTGTTATTACTATTCTTATCATTATCATTATGTTATTATATATATTTTTTTATTACCAGTATTGTTATTATTGCTATTATTATTACCGGTATTATTATTATTGCTATTATTATTGCTGTTATTATCATTATATTATTATTATCGTTTGGAAATCGGTCCAAAATTCAGCGAATAATTCTACTTTGAGATTGAGGAGTACCTCTGCCTCTGCTAGCCCTGTTCCAAGATGGCGGCGCTTTAGGCACGCCCCTCCACAGTCGATGTGGCGTCTATGTATATATGTCTATGGGCGGTACCACCCCTGTTGAGTGAGAAACCTGTGGGTGTGTTTTAGTATGTGAGTGTGCTTTGGAGGCATTTGTGATTTTTATTTATTTTTTTTATATTTTATTTTCAAATTTTTCAGGTTTTATGTAAAGAAAGCACAGCGACAGAGAAGAAAAACAACAACAACAACAACAACAACAGAATAACACAGAACAACAGAGCTGCCAGATAAAATTAAAAGTGTGTCTTGGATGAATGTAATATTGCTGTCATCTACATGGCCAGGTGTTACAAAAATACAAGTTGCAGTACGGTCAAGAGCACATCTTTACAGAAAAGGATTACATATCTGTCACAGGTTTCTTTACTCTCTGGTTAAACAAGTAGGCAGAGTCAGAAGTTCAATAAGGCGGTTTATTAACAGGCAGATTTGGTAAAAACAGACAGAAAAAAAGTCTTTACCAGGGGTCCAAAAGCTGTCCAGCCAATCTCTATTTCTCCTTGACTGCAGGTAAGGGGGGGACAAGGTGGAGTTCA